AGTTACTTTACTTTAAAACATTAAACCCATTGCCTTAAAAGCAACACGTTGACTTTATAAAGTGAGTAAATGCATTGTAACTTCAAATTGTTAAGTTGCCTTAATTTAATTTGTATAATTATACACATTATTCACTTACTTAAATTTAAAGCAATGGGTTTACTTGTGTTTTTTAAGTAAAGTTAACTAATCGATTTAAAAGCAATGGGTTTTAAAAGCAATCTTCCATTTATGTCTAAAATACTAGAAAAAAGTTGTTTCTACCCAATTATGCTCCTTTCTGCAGACAAACAATGCTTTTAAAGTGTTTCCGTCAGGTTTCAGGGCTCATCAAAGTACAGAAACTGCATTAGTAAATATAACCAGTCTACTCCTAGCTGCTGACCAAGGATGCATCTCACTCTTAGTTTCACTTGATCTTAGAGCGGCATTTGACATCATTGACCACAGTATCCTCATAAATCGCTTAAAGTCTACAGGTGTCCAGGGACAGGCTCTACAATTGTTTAAGTCATACTTAGCTGACTGTTATTAGTTTGTGAATATTATTAGACAGCCTTCACATGTCAGCCCAGTAAAGTATGGGGTGCCTCAGGGAGCAGTCTCAGGCCCTTTGCTGTTTGCAATTTACATGCTATCTCTGAGAGACATAATTAGTAGACATGCGATCAGCTTTCACTGCTACGCAGATGATACTCAATTATATATTTCAACTAAACCTGATTAGACGTCTGAAATGTCTAAGCTAACTGAGTGTATTAAAGATGTTAAAGACTGGATGACCAACAATTTTCTTCTCCTAAACTCAGACAAAACAGAATTATTACTTATTGGGCCTAAATCCTGTACACAGCAGATCTCGCAACTCAATCTATAATTAGAGGGTTACAAAGTTAGCGTTAGCTCTACTATAAAAGATCTGGGTGTCATATTAGACAGCAATTTAACTTTTGAAAATCATATATACCATGTCACAAAAACTGCCTTCTTTTATCTGAGAAATATCGCTAAGTTACAAAGTATGCTATCCATCTCAGATGCAAAAAGCTAGTCCATGCTATTATGACCTCTAGGCTGGATTACTGTAATGCTCTGTTTGCTGGCTGCCCAGCATCCTCTATTAACAAACTTCAATTAGTACAAAATGCAGCTGCCAGAGTTCTGACCAGGTCTAGAAAATATGATCATATCACCCCAATTTTATCCTCCTTACACTGGCTGCCTGTTAAGTTTCGTATTGATTTTAAAATAAGCTTTAAATAATCTAGCTCCTGTTTATCTAACCAACCTTCTGTCGCGCTACAATCCAACTCGTTCTTTAAGATCTCAAAACTCAGGGCTTCTGTAGTACCTAGAATAGCAAAGTCAAGTAAAGGAGGTCAAGCCTTCTTGTTTATGCCTCCTAAACTCTGGAATAGCCTTCCTGATAACGTCCGAGGTTCAGACACACTCTCCCAATTCAAAACTACATTAAAGACCTATCTGTTTAGTAAAGCACACACTCAGTGCATCACTTAGCGGGTTTCCACACAGGTTTGCATCTAGTTTATATACACTATGAACAGCAGCTACGCTAATTATTCTCTTTATTCTCCATTTCCACCTGGGGATATTCATCCCGAGGCCCTCAGACTATGCAGAGTCACTGATTCGATCCAAATCCAGCGACAAGATGATCCCAAGGTTTCCATATCCTGGACCAGGCCATATCCTGAGCAGCTGCTGTGGTGGTCCTGGTGGAGTGGAGAGCATGAGTCTGATTCTTGTGACGCTCCAGGGACGAGTCTTCGCTCAGGCCCAGCTTCCAGTCTCCGCCGCTGAGACTGCAGTTCTGCACAAGACCTTTGGCCAGCGAAGAAATTTAAATGATCATGCCCAACTGAGTCCGGTTTCTCTCAAGGTTTTTTTTTCTTCACTTTCACTAATTAGTGAAGTTTTTTTCCCCTCTCCGCTGTCGCCTCAAGCTTGCATGGTTTAGGATCGGTAGAGCTGCGCATCGATGAATTACTCTTGTAGTAATTGTAGTGATTATTAAACCACACTGAACTGAGCTAAAATGAACTTAAACACTAAAAAAACTGAACTGCACTGTTTCAATTTACTATGATCTTTTATGTGAAGCTGCTTTGACACAATCTACATTGTAAAAGCGCTATGCAAATAAAGCTGAATTGAATTGAATTGAAGTTTACTCACGTTTTTTTTAAAGTAAAAGTCAACTAATCAATTTAAAAGCAATGGGTTTACTCATTTTTTAAGTAAAGTCAACATTTCGCTTTAAAAGCAATGGGTTTACTTACATTTTTTAGTAAAGCAAACTAATCGCTTTTTAGCGTGTGGAAACCTTATATAAATACACACCTTAAACAGAGCCTTCAGCATTTGCTGATTCTGCAATCACTAAATTTAATACAAAATCAAGCAAATGTTTCACAATTTTGTGGAGCACACAATTTATTTTTAAAATTGCCACAGCTTTCCTGGATGGTTTGGGTAGTCAGGAAACTCTTAAAATTCTTCAAACTTACCACAAAATCACTCATTTATTCATAAAAATCAGAATTTCTTTAGTAAAATGTAATTTAAAAAAAAATATATATATATATATGTATATATATATATATATATATATATATATATATATATATATATATATATATTCGGAGAAAAAAAATTGTAGGTGCACAAAAATGTTATGCCTAAAAATATTATAGAATAGCCTAAAAATGTACTGTAAAACATTTAGCATAATAATAAATATTCTATATGCAATGCCATCATCTCTGATACCATCTTGCCCCAAAAAGGAGGACTGACTTTGTGAAAGTTGCGTAAGAACCCTGCCAACTGCAAAGGACAAAGTCAGGCCTCCTCCACTCAGCCCCTGACTGGCAAAGAAAAGTGTTAAAGTGACTTCTTAGTAAAGAAGTGCCGGGAAGGGGGCTGGAAGACTCACTGTGAGCCAATACAGGTGGGCTGTAGATGGTTTGCAGTTTGTTCACTCTGTAAAGTCTTCAACCAAGAGAGAGGGCCATTAAATCAGTTTGTGGAGCTGCAGAGAAAGCCACAAGATGGCTATGGATAAAAAGGGCTGATCCATGGGTGATGGCTACTAGGACACAAGTATCAACCTCAGCTGGGTCACCTGGGCGAGGGTGTCTGATGTTGAAAGACTCGAAAGACCCAGTGACCTCAGGATACATGACTGATGATGATGTATCTTGCACACACATATATACAGACTGAAATATGCGTATTATCATTGCAGCAATAAATTAAAAATATATATATATGTTCTCTAACAGGTAAAAAAAATGGGGTATTAGGTATTTATTTATTACATTTTTACTAACATGAACAAACAATGCACAATACATTTATTGCAGTATTCATTCACCTTTATGTTAGTTATTGAAAATAAAGCGGTTAATTGTTAGTTTGTTAACTCACAGTGCATTAACTAATGTTGAACTATGAGCTATGATTAATAAATGCAAGAGTGCTCAAATTTAGTTCATGTGAAATACTTAATTTAAAGTCTTATTTACTGTTACATGCTGTGAAATAAACAAAATCAAGCGGGATAGTTTGTCTGAAAAATAACTGTACAGATTAGAATGCTCATCAGCCAATCAAAATCAAGCGTTCCAGAGCCCCCTTAAAAATAAATATGAAATAATACAGTAATAAAGGGTTTATATGAGTTAGAGCATTTCACTGCTGAAAGTACTTAAATATTAATACTGACCACTGTCATTTCAGTAGTGACCCACTGCTGCTGATAACCTCACCTGTGTTTAATACTATAGATTTAAAACCACAAACCATAAACACAAGCGGATGGTGTTTATTTGCTTACAGATCCTGATGAACATATGCTAAATAGGTCAAGCTAGATCATCTTGAACACCCTCCTCTGTTCCACAGTGATGCTGAAATGTGCCAGGAGAGATGAGTCACGGCAGACTCACACATGGCTTTCTAAACATTTATGAGAATCACTCAGCAGACCAGAGCCGCAGCAATACAGACGGAGAGGGTTTTACTTTCAAAACTGTCATGAACATGTCCTGCATGCATTGCACACAAAAATAATGTATTCATTTTCCACTCCATATTTCATTATAAGTAAATAAATAAATACATTAAAAATGAATAATAATAATAATAATAATAAATAAATACATTAATAATAACAATATATATATATAATATAATAATATATAATAATATAATATATGTATATAACAACAATAATAAACACATTGAAATAATAATAATAATAATAATAATAATAATAATAATAAATAAATAAATTAATTAAAATAATAATAATAATAAAAGAAATAATAATAATAAATTAATTAATTATTCAATCTAAAATAAATAAATAATAACAACAATAATAATAAATACATTAAAAAATTAACAATAATAATAATAATAAAATAATCATAATCATAATAATAAATACATTAAAATAATTAAAATAATAATGATATTAAATTAATTAATTATTTAATAAAAAAATATTAAAAAACCATAATGAATACATTAAAAAGTAATAATAATAATAATAATAATAAATACATAAAAATAATAACAATGATTAATTAACTAATTAATTCAAAATAAATAATAATAGCAACAATAATAAATAAATAAATAAATAAAAAATGAATAATAATATTAAATAATAATAATAATAATAATAATAATAATAATAACAACAACAACAATACATACATTAAAATAAATAATAATAATAATAATAATAATAATAATAATAATAATAATAATAATAATAATAATAATAATAATATAAGGAGTCATTGAATCATAAATCTTTAGCTTTGTCAATTAACCCCGCTTTTTACTTTCATGTTAGGGATCTCTTACTCATTGCTTTTTTCATAGGGCCCAAAATTGCTAGCGGCGCGCCTGATCATAACACTAGCGGTAGTCAGGAAAATGCGCAATAGTGACATTGATTCCCTTACCTTTGCATGTGAAGCACTTGATGTGGAAGTGTTTGGCCTGCACTCGTAACACCTCTCCTTTGCACAACTCTCCACATTTAGCACAGCGAATCAAAGGCTTCTCCGTCTGGTGGTGAGACTCCTGTGTATGGGCCACTGCATAGAAAGAAAAACAAATGTAGTCATGATTTGTTCCAGTATTGAAAGGTGCTGTTTTGACTCTTAATACCATAAAAGACCACAATAAGGGGCCTTCGGGAGCATAGTCCACCAAATGTGATTTCGATTAAACTCACTCCAGGGTGACACTTAATATTTTGTAACCTTACCAGTGTAAAATTTAAAAAGTGACATTTCAGATATGTGTGAAATATGGAAGATTTGATGTCTTAACACTGAGGTCTTTTCATTAATTTATCTTCGCCACCGCAAACCAGTACTGGGAAACACCCATACTCTCTTGTATTCGCACACACTCATACACTATGACTAATTTTGTTTATTAAATTCAACTATACCACATTTCTTTGGACTGTGGGGGAAACCGGAGCACCCGGAGGAAACTCACGCCAACACAAGGGGAAGACAGTGCTAACCACTGAGCCACCGTGCCACACAGACTGGAATAATCTACAAATTCTGGAAGTTCAGCTCTGCGTCACAGGAATAAATCATTTTAAAATGGCATATACAAACAAAATCTAATTCCAATCAGAGCAAAAACTCGGAAAGGTTTAGACTGTTTACGTTCTGCTTCCTTCAGTATTTGCACAGCAGAACGTGTAACTTCAAATGTCCTCTGTTTTAAAAGCATCAGCACCTCAGGCGGCCACAAAATATGATTATCAATTCAGTATTGAAAAGTATTGCATGAACGAGCGTTTTTCATTCCCCTGGAGAAAGACTTCAGTCCATAATGAAATACACAAAGCTTTTACTGTTATTGATCTGCATTTGGTTTCCATTTATCTTGTTCATTTTGAGAGTCACTTTTATATATATGAGCAATTTCACTGTTTCTCTTGTATTTGCCACACATTAAGGTCCTGTGAAGTGCTTTTAAATTAGATTTTTTTTATTCGATGTTTGAGGTAATCTCTAATGAAAACTAAGAGGGGGTGGGCATAGAGTAGCTCCTCCCCTTTAAAAGAAACAGCCAATCGTGTTTTGTTTATCACAGCTCTGCCAGTGAGAGTGGATGAGCTCAGGTGCATCAAATAAAAAAGCCAATGAGAAGTGTCGTGAAGGGGCGGGGCATGTCAGATACTACAAAGCATTTGATTAGTCAAGATTTGATGAGAAACTGAAGTATGAGGTGACGTGATTAAAATTGTTAATCCCTTTAGGTGGAAGTGACAAACTACAAGCTTGACATGTTGATATCAGGTTTATATTTTCTAATCACAAATTGTGTCACTGTTTTGGAGCACACTTGCTTATGGATATCTTAAAACTAACAGACTGAAACTAACATTATGATATAAAAAAAACTACTTTTTTATTTTATTTTTATGGGACCTTTATTAGTTTTTCTTATATGTCCTTATAGTTTATTTTTCTTTTACATAAAGTATATCAAGTACATGTAAACAGTTAACCAATATAAACAGACCAACCAAACAGTGATATAATTTATTTAATCACATGTTTATTTTCAGTAACAATAAAAGTCCCAGTACTGGGTTGCAGCTGGATATGCATCTGCTGCATAAAACTGGAACTGGCTTTGCCGCGTTTTGACTCTCGTCTTGTTTGTTTGTTTGTTTACGTTTCTTGCTGCCCGTACTGACCATTCGCCTGTTTAATGACTATGGCTGTTTCTCAATATGCGTTCTTTTCTGTACTGGCGTTCTTGTGTCCTCGTGAAACGTCATCAACCGCCGCCAAAGTACTGTTCCAATTCAAAGTTCACATCTTTCCAAGTATACATGAAATTCCCGGACGTGTACTTGCTCTGGCCTTTGGCCAAGGATGCATCGAGAGGTGACTTGTGCGAACTTGTGAAGCTCAGGTATCCCAGAATGCATTGCAGCGTAACCAGCAAGCGCTAATGGCGGAGAAGGAAACCCGCACGGTTTTAAAAATACTCCTTTACTGTGTCACAAAATAAAGTTTTAAGAGTTTTTCAGGCGAGAATGTAGTTGTTTTAAACTCGAATCGGCAGTTTATTCACAAAGATAGCGCTTTTTTAACGATGTGGCTCAACTTATGCGGACTCCGACTCCCAGCCTGCCAGCGGGAGCTCCGTCATCAGCTCCCCCACAAGAGCAGTTTCACTTCGGCCAGGCCATCTCGGACGTACCGCTGGATCTCATCTCTCCATTGTAGTTAAAACATGATATTTAATTCATCTTGTGAATATCTATCGGTGTCACACAACCAGCGATTGCTTTTCAGAGATCGCTGGTTCTCACACGAACTCAAAACTACATTTCCGCATTTCCCAGGACTACATTTTCACACATGCACTGCTCCCAAACACGCATGCCTGTTCATTCATCTATCCTGATTGCAATCACCAGCTGAACCTTGTCACAGACTGATATCACACCATACTTAAGCCACACATTCACGTTTCCAGTTTGCAGAGTCTTGTTTGCTTTACTGTGACATTACAACGTGTTTCCCTCACTTGTTTTCTCCGTGTTAGACCTTAGCCCAGTATTCCCTGTTCTCCTGTTTAGCCGCCTGCCTTGTGACCTGTTGCCTGATTTACGAGTACGATTTTGGATTTCCCTTAATATACCCGATTGTACCTGATTTGACCATTGCTTGCCTGACGCTGAATAAACCTGCATTTGGATCCTACCTTCTGTTGTGAGTGTCACTCCCCCAGTCGTTACAATCGGACAGTTTTTGGTCTTGTAAATCTTTTATTTGTTCTCAGGTGTATTATTTTGGCAGTGTTATTTTGTTACTTTTTATAATTGTCTTTAATTATGTTACGGTGTTGTACGCTGTTTGTCCTTGATTACTACAGTAAATAGCTTGACAGAATATTTCCTATCGTGTGTAAAATTACCATTGTAGTTCAATAAATCTGATAATCAAAGACATGTTTCAGTGTATAATAACTCATTTTAATTAACATTTTTATGAATATATGTGTACACTTTCTTAAATCAAAAATGTAGATTTATAATATTAATATAATACAAATTTAATAATTTTATTGTTAATGTACAGTGAAACTGATGAATCCATGGTGAGGTAAGGGACGTTATAAAGTACACTGTTGTTCCATTTGAAGAAGTACCCGACTTGTGTCCTCGCGTCCTCGGGAGTTTGTTCTTCCAAGTCTGAACTTGGCAAGTCTGAACTTCCAAGGACGCAAGTCCAAATTTTGCATATTTGGTATTGAGAAACAGCCTATGACTCTGGATTAATTTATTCATTCATTTTCTTTTGGGCTTAGTCCCTTTTTTAATCCAGGGTCGCCACAGTGTAATGAACCGCCAACTTATCCAGCACATTTTTACGCAGTGGATACCCTTCTGGCCGCAAACTATCTCTGGAAAAGACTCTGGATTACCTATATACATCTGTTTGATCCTGTTGACCGTTGCCTGCCTGACCATCCTGTTAAAAAACCTGCATGTGGATCAGCAACTCTGTTGTCAGCGTCCATCACATGACAAAATCAAAAACATTGCAAATTAATTCTTATATTCACTAAATATTCTGAGAAAATTACTATAATTTTTTTACTTTAGATGCATTTAAATCTGTTGTATGGGAATCCAACACAACATTAGAGCACTTTAAAATACCATATGAGGAGCTCTTTAATGAAGCACATATAACAACACCTACTCCTTGCATCCCATCATTCCCTCCCTATCCACAGAGAATGGCTGGTTTTGAATTTAAGATCAAACACACACACAGTCTCTCTGCTACTGAATCGCCATCACAGGGAAGAGTATGCGTGTGTGTTGGCTCGTACGAGTCTCATGGGACATTCGTTTCACAGACACAGACTTTTTTCATGCATATTTATGAGTCGACTCTCTTTCCCTGCCCCCTTTCTACATCCTCGCCACCCTTCAGACCCTCCGTCCCAGGACAAACAAAGCACTGGAAAGCGGGATCAGAGCCGTATCACTCACAGCCAGAGACAAAGCGTTATTAACCTCGAAGCCTATTCAGCATTCACCAAAACATCAATAACAGTATGTTTGAAATAAAGGTGAACAAGTGCAGTGAGATCAAATGTAAACAAACTACATCAGATAATTCTATGCTTTTATATGACTGCAAGATTTGAGCGATGCTTGCTTATGCAAAATAATAGTCTTGATGTTATGCAGTAGAAAAAAAAAGTGAACGGTTTTTAAAATTTAAGATTTTAAAGTACTGAAAATGGGTCAACACAGTGGCTCAGTGGTTAGCACTGTCACCTGATAGCAAGAAGGTTGCTGGTTCGAGTCCCAGCTGGGCCAGTTGGCAATTCTGTGTGTAGTTTGCATGTTCTCCCCGTGTTCGTGTGGGTTTCCTCCACGTGCTCCGGTTTTCTCCACAGCCCAAAGATATGCGGTACAGGGGAATTGAGTAAACACGATTGGCTTTGGTTTATGAGTGTGTGTGAATGTGCGAGTGTATGGGTGTTTCCCAGTACTGGGTTGCAACTGGAAAAGCATCCGCTGTGTAAAACATGTGCCGGAATAGTTGGTGGTTCATTCCGCTGTGGCAACCCCTGATAAATAAGGGACTAAGCCGAAGGAAAATAAATGAATGAATGAATGCACTGAAAATGTAAAATATTCTTTGGTGTTTTAGAAAGGTTTTGCAAACACAAAACTACATTGTAAAAATGATCCTCGTTCAAATACATTCATGAAAATTAACAAGAATGTTGTATTGTGCATGTCAGGTTTATAGTTGGCACTGTCACTAAGAAACGCAATGCAAAAATATGTAAAAACATTATTGTTTTTTTTCTTTTTGTCAAATACTTTTATATATATATATATATATATATATATATATATATATATATATATATATATATATATATATATATATATATATACATTTTTTAAGTGTTATTTAAACTACAAATATACACTACCTGACAAAAGTCTTGTCACCTATCCAAGTTGTAAGAACAACAAATAATAACTTGACTTCTAGTTGATCATTTGGTATCAGAAGTG